GGATTGATTCAGTGACTGGGATAATTGGGATGGGAGTGTCAGAGACAGTGCGACTGGCACAGGACAGAGCGGAGTTTAGGGCTGTTGTACATAGGGTCTCTATGAGTCGCAGGCGACTCGACGGCACATAACAACTACAACAACATCCACATCTACCTTTACACTCTGCCCTTCCTCCTGCTAAGATGAATGACTTATCCCTACTGATTAAGAGGTCTGCTAATGAGAACATATCAGCCATTCTGCTTTCATAAATGTTCTTAAGCTTGGAAAGCCTCTCAGCAAGTCTCATCTGTCCTACAATATTGCTGTGAGTCAGAATGGACTCAGAGACAACAGGTTCCTTCTCTACTTCCTTGGCTCTCCATCCCTTCTCATTTACTTAATGAGTGGATCATACACCAACTAGCCTAAAAATCTCCTGAAATTATTTTTCATCTTATTAAAAACTAACAAAAACATCAGCCCTATATTCCTCTAGAGAATTATCTACATAGATCCACCTTCTTGTCTCACATATTCCCTTTATATCCAGTGAAACCCTTCAAGACCACAGCTTATTTGACTTTGTTAAATCTAACATGCTTACCTTATCTGACATCTTGTAGCATTTTACACTTGCTGATAGGTTTTACCTTCTTTAAATCTTTTCTTCACTAGACTTCCAGAACACAAACACTGATCATAATTTTCTTATCTCAAGGGCATGTTATTCATAGACTCAGCTGCTTGCACCTCGTTCCTTCTGTTGACTTCTAACTGCCTGCATGCTTTTCTGAAATGTCACTTAAATACCAATGACCAATATATTCACTTAATATCTGAAAAGCAGCTAGTTCTTATCTCTAAATAAAATTTTTGATCCTGACTATCCTACACAAAAAAAAGTTACTTCAGTCTTCATTCCAGTTCACAGCAACAAAATGTGTGTAGTTTCATGTCAAAAATTTCTTACTATCCTTGATGGCTCTTTCCTAATTTTAGTAACCACTATACCAATAGACTCTATAAGGTTTATCTTCAAAGAAAACTCTCTGATGTGCTAAATTTTCAGCACCTATGCCTGCTATCGTAGACAAAGCTACCAATATCACTGATCTGAATCAATTCAAGGGAACTACCAGTCCCTCACTTCTTCTCATTAGCCTACTTTTCACATATATTGATCTGTTCAAAGAATATGATTACATTGTTACCTAACTTTTTACCACCACACTTAAACAAATATTCAACCACCTCCTTTCTTAATCTCATGTCTCATTATCACCTTCCAATACATACCATGTTCTAGCCCACAAGCTTTCATCCTGTTCTTTAAACATAAAGTGATTCCTAACTCAGGAAACAGTTGCTATTTTCGTGGCCTGAGATGATCTGCTATCTCTTCACATGACAGACTCCTGATCAAATGGTATTAACTCAAAGAACTTTTGCTATCTGCTTCCAATGGCCACTCTAAGATTTCTCCCCCTTTTCATAACACTACTTAGACATTTGTTTCCTCTACTGGAACTTGAGTTATATAAGAGTTGCAACCTTATCCATTTTGTTCACTGTTATATCCTCAGTGTTCAATAAACATTTATTGAATAAATTAATGTATAGAAATGAAAGGCTTCAACAAGTTAACAGTAGAGGCAGTATTCAGATTCTTTACAGAAAATCCCAATCCTGCTTCTATCTGTATGTGATCTCCCATTCCATTTACTGATTTCTAACAAAATCTAATGTTGTTGCTGTGTATCATCAAGTCAGAACCAACTCAAAGCTGACCCTTCAGAGTGTTTTCAAAAGGCAATAAAATCTCATAGGAGGAAATTGCCTTTTTCCCATGGAGCAGTTGGTGGATTCCAAACACGTACCTTTGCGTAGGCAGTGCAACTCCTTACCACTAAGCCACCAGAGTTCCCTAACAAGACCAAACAGAATAGCTAACCTGGTGATTCTTACAGCTGCTTTAAGACCAGAATCAACTAAAGTGGCTTTTATAAAAGCCTTCTAGGCCCCATCTCAGAACTACAATAAAACTCACCAACCAAAACCCACTGCTATCAATTCCAACTCTTAGTGATCGTACAGGACAGAGCAGAACTGTCTCACAGGGGTTCCACAGAGTTGTGGGTTGTAAGTCTTTATAGGTGCAGACGAGAGTCTAAACCACTGATCTTTCACTTAATAGTAAAACGCTTTAACCTCTGTGTTACTAGGGTTCCTTACATTAAGATAACACCCAGAGATCTATTATTTTGAAAAGCTCCCCAGGTGATACGGACTTAGACCATTGTTCTGGATGAAAGCCTCCAAACCACACTCTCTGTCACTGAATTAATTCTAATCCATAGCAACCCTTTACAACAGAGCAGACTTTTTCCATGAAATCCCCAAAGCTGTGACTCTCTTTACACAGACTGCTATAACTTTCTCTTACAAGGTGGCTGGGGGTTCACACCTCTTACTTTAACTTCTACATCAGTGAGCTCACTATATTCTACATAAACAGTTAAAAAATGTATTCTGTGAATAGTCAAACAGTAAATATTTCATGCTTTACAGACTTTAGGGTCACAACTCTATAATTTTGTCACTGTGGATAGCACTATCTTGTTCCTGCTTTACCATCAAGTTGTAATCAACTCAGAAATGAAACCCACAGTGGGTCTTCAGAGGCTGTAAATCACATGGAAGGAAACTGTCCATATTTCTTCCACAAAGCAGCTAGTGGTCTTAAACTGCAAGCCACGGGGTTGGCAGCACAACTCCTTACCACTAAGTCACAAAGTTCCAGCACTAAAAATAGTTATAGTGAAATAAGGCAAACAGGCAAGGCCATGATCCAATAAAATGTTTCAGAAAAACAGGAGGGTCAGGTTTGCCAACCCTTGTTCTATAATTCTTCAATAACATTAACATGCATATGGTCTTATTAAAATGTAGGTTCTAATTCAGAAAAGTGGGATAGGTTTGTGGTTAAGTATTTCTAATGTTTAATACTATCACTACTACTAAGCATATGGACAGTAAAGTGCAACTTTTAACACTCATTGTCAGTCAAGTAGAACTGACTCATAGTTGGCATTTCACTTGGTTTACAAGGCTGTAAATCACGAGAAGAGACTGTCCATCATTTTTCAAGCAGTCACTGTGGATTCAAATTGCCAGAGAGATGTAGCCTATAGCACAATTCCCTACAGACCATGATACCAGAGTTCCCTAACTTCAGCACTTTTAACAGAATCTACCCATGAAGGTGTTTATTGAATGCGTTAAATCCTAATAGGTATGCTCTGACTGCTCTAGCTGATTTCATATTATGGAATTCTAATTTGCTATTAAACCAAAGGCAACTCTTCCCTAGTGGTTCTTACCCACCAGTGACTCCACTAGAGTAAGAAGGGAAATCTACTCCCGTCGATTTACAGCCCTGGACACCTATGAGCTATGAGTCAGTTCTGAAGTTTCTGACTCCACAGCAATGAATTTTTTTTCAAACTTGAATTCTAGTTTATTTTTACAGTATGAAAAATAAAGACTCTGATTCCTTACCGAAAATTTACAGTATAATTATGAATTGACGGAATCATTTTATAGGCTATCAAGAGATAAGTTAGCAGAAATGCCAATTTAAAATTCTTCCTTAATAAGGGAAGGACAGATCTCTCCACACCTACCAATAAATAACATGGAATGCTTCCGGGCAAATTTCAGGCCTTCATTTCTATCAACTTCACGGTTGTCCTAAAAAATAAACGCAAAGATGAAGAAAAGCTGCTAACATATTGAGCCAAAATGCCATGTGTCTGCCTTCTTACCTTATCAATTTTATTTCCAACTAACATGTTTACTATGTCATTTCTCGTGCAGTATGTTTCCAATTCATTTAACCAATTATCAAGTTTAACAAAGGTGTCTCTTCTTGTGACATCATAAACTGAAACAAAAGGTAAGAGTCATTTGTTCAATAAGCACCAAAAACGCCTAAAATAGATATTACTAACTAGGCAATCTCTATTTTTGCTATCTTCATAGTGAAGATAACAGTCCTTAAACTTCTGCAGCAGTTTCTTAAGGAGATAAGAGAGAAAAGGGGAATAAAATTATCCAAGAAAAAATAGGGCAGGATATTGAAAAAAAAAAAAAAAAAATAGAAGGCCTCAACACACAGATACAAGGAACTTGGTAAAATCTAAATTTAAAAAAATACAAGGAAAACGATTATAAAGCACAGGAAAAAGAGGGATGGTGAATTAGTAATGTAATCCCTCCTGTTTAAAAAAATTTCAGGGCCAGATTATTTCACTGGACATTTTCCTAAACATTTATTGAAGAAACCACACCAATTTTAAGCAATCTCCTTCAGAAAATGCAGGAGTAGAAAATATTTTACAAATAACTTTATATTATTTTATTAATATTAATCAAAACACAAATAAGCCACTATAAACTTATTCCATGAATTTGAAAAATATGCTTCATAAAATCAATCAAGCAAATGAGGAGGTGAAGGAAAAGGAACAATTCAATGGGGACTTGAAAAGATGGTATAATAAAAGGCATAGATCAACAGTAATTTTATAAAATACATTGTGTACGAATGATTGTATGAACACAATATAAATGAAAGACTGTATAAAATACAATGTACATGAATTACATGCAAACCCATATAAAAAAAGCAAATTATTAAAAAACTAATCTAGATTAAAAAACAAATTAAAAAATACACGCACATCTTAACTTTATTAACAGACATGATCAAAATAAAAATAAGTTGTGTGATAACTGAAAACTAAATAACAGCTGTCCTCATTCATAATGATAAAAGCAGCTTGTACAAAACTTTTAAAATGTGTGTAGATTTGTATCTGAGGTAGAACATCAAAGAACTTTATATTAATTTAAATATCTATGACCCTATTAATTTATTTTCTTGCAAAGACCAGAAAGTTTCACCTTTGAAAAAAATGCATACATATGGGATCTTGGGACTGTCTTCCTCTATTCACACTTTTGGAGCCCTGGTGGCGTTGTAGGTTACATGACTAGTTGCTAACCTCAAGAGCAGCAATCTGAACCAGCTGTTCTCTACAAAAAAGAAGGGGCAGTGTGCTCTCTCTCCTTTCTGTTAAAATTTACAGCCTCAGAAACCTAATGGAGTATCACCAATAAGCCAAAACTCAACTCAACATTAGTGGATTTGGGACTTTTTCATTATCACTTTCATCTTATATCATTTTGGATAATAAAGAGCTTTTTAATATAAAGTATTTCTAAACTTGAGAGATGCTGAACAAAAAAAAAGTCACTTAGAAGTAAAAAGAAATGAAACCAAAGCCTCGTACATCATAATTTTAAAAATCAGCTTTTTCTACAATGGGATCAATATTCATTTTAAATAGCTTCCCAGGTGTATTTATCACTAAGAATGCATTTTTCAACAAACTGCACTGAGACTCTCTACATTTGCCTTTTTAAATTTCGTTTGACTATAAAATACTGCTAGAGTAATTTTTATTCTTTTTCAGGACTGAGAGAAATCTTGTTATAAACTGCATCATAAATTAATGTTAAAAATCAGACCAATTCATTTGATCTTTACTTTTAATTGCTAAGCAAAGGAAGAAAAATTAGTTTTATAATCATTAATAGTAAATGAAGTTGACACAGCTCTAGTTATACAACGTACAGCTAAAAAGAAAATTAAACATATTGACCCTTACAGACTATGGAAATAATTCTGACAGCTTGAAATAAACAATCACATTTTCAAACAGTGTATTAAAATAAATATTTACCTAATATAACACCCTGTGCACCTCTGTAATAACTGGGAGTTAATGTTCTGAACCTCTCCTGACCAGCAGTATCCTGCAAGTGACAATCATTATTGGTATTTTATAAACAGGCATAAATAACATAATTTTAGCACTTAGCTAAGAGCAGAAAATCAAACAGAATTTTAATAAATTGTATACGTTCACTGTTAAATACCAACTGCCAAAATAAAAGTTTACCATTTAAATTTAAGGGTTTTTTAAAATCACAAATGAAACCCCTTTCACCGAGAGCAAAAGTTTTCATTTCTGGCCATAAAACAAAAGCTAAATAAAATAATCCACTGTTGATTTCCTAGATTGTTTTAAATCTTAATGTTAGCATATTGCCTCATCTATCTCCAGTGGACTAACTGGTAGATGTGCACTGCTAAACTTTCAGTTAGCAGCCCAACATATAAACAACTATGACACCAAGCCTCCCTCTGACTACAGGAAATTCCTCAATCTTTTTACCTAATTTGACTAGTGGGTATGATTATTGTTGCTGATTGCCAATGAGTTGAGCACAACTCATAGCAAACCTGTGAACAAAAGACCTGAAAGACTTTATATAACTCTATTTTTTTCTCAAAGTTCATAGTTTCCAGAGGCATGTTGTTGAGAGTGAATGCCACTCCTGCTTCCAAGGGTAGTATTGGGGGGGGGGGGGATCATCCCAGGTGATTCTAATATATAGTTAAGAACGGCAACTACTGACTCAAGAGAATTTGAGCACTGTCCTTTCGGTTAAGGAAGGCCTGTTGGCATAGTCCATAAGTAGTTGTCCTACCTCCAATTACATAAAGTAGCGACTGGCTGCCTATCGTATTATAAAAAGATTATCAAGCATAGCTTTATGAGAACACAGATTCCTTTGATTTTTTTATTGCGACGATTGCTTTTATGGTACATAGTTAAGCAGATAATAGAGACCATACTGATCTCTTTACAACTGACCTAAAATAAAGATTTATTGTTGCTAAACAAAATATATGTAACATTCCTAGTCCCAAGATTATAAATGTAGACTTAACTATAGGACAAGTAAAGATCTTTAGATACAGGAGGCTTATAAGTCTGGAGAGAACTTTGAAACAGTAATGAAGACAGTCTCTAACAATATAAAATTTTCTTTTCTGGTCAAAGTAAAGGATGCTTTAAAAACAGTAACTAGGTAGAAAAGAGGTGGGGTATCTTAAAGCCCCGTAAGAGACATCTTAAAATAAATAAATAAATTATAGAAAATTAGAGACTGCTAGCCTAGTGTTAAGATGCTACGCTGCAATCTCAAAGGCACATGGCACATGGTTTGAATCTACCAACCACTCTGTGGGAGAAGGATGGGCAATCTCCTGCCATGTGATTTACTGCCCCTGAAAACCTCCCAGAAAATAAACAATGAGTCAGTTCCATCTTGACGGGCACAACAAACGAAAATAAAAGTTAAGATAGTGTGTACTGATTTTGGTATGCGTTGAGAAGCTGGACTATGTGAAGAATGTGGTACCAGAATTGGAGAAGACTCATCAACAAATTATGCTGCTAACACAACCTTGCCTGTTGCATGAGAAGAGGACTTGAAGGACTTATTGAAAAGAAAAATTAAAAATAATACATAGTCTTCAAGACAATTATACATTAACATAAAGAAAATAAAACCCTCACAACTGGATCAATAAGAAACATTATGATAAATGGGAGGAAAACATGCAAGTTGTCAAAGATTTCATTTTGCTTGGATCCACAGTCAACATACATGCCAGCACTCATCAAGAAATCAAAAAAACTGAATTCTCTATTGTGTTTGAGATAATCTGCTGCCAAGGACCTCTTTTTAGGCTGACAATACAAAGCAGGCTGGATTTAGAAGAGGTCATGGTACTAGGGATATTATAGCTAATGTCAGATGGCTCTTAGCAGAAAGCAAAGAATACCAGAAGAATGTCTATCTATGCAAAGACTTTTGACTGTGGGGATCACAACAAGCTGTGGCTGACTCTGAGAAGAACGGGAATCCCAGAACATCTGACTGTGCTAATACGAAACTTATACTTGGACCAAGAGACAGTTGTCAGAACAAAGCAAGGAGACACTACATGGTTCAAAATCAAGAGGGGGGTTCATCAGGGATGTGTTCTGTCACCATACCTTTTCAATCTGTATGCAGAACAGATCATCCGAGACGCTGGGCATCAGGATTGGTGGAAGAATTATAACAAGCTGCGTTATGCAGATGACACAACCCTGCTTGCTGAAACTGAGGAAGACCTAAAGCGCTTGTTGCAGATCAAGGACTACAGCCTCCTATATGGACTGAAGCTCAACATCAAGAAAACAAAGATTCTAACCACTGGGCCAACTGGCAGCATTAGCATGGATGGTAAACAGATTGAGATAGTTAACAGTTTTAATTTACTTGGCTCCACATTCAACACTCTTGGTAAAAGCAGCCAGGAAATCAGGAGACGAATTGCACTGGGAAAGTCGACTGTGAGGGACCTCTCAAGAGTACTGAAGAGCAACGATGTCAGGCTGGAGACGAAGGTGTGCCTGATCCGGGCTATAGTCTTCACAATAATGTGCTATGCATCAGAGAGTTGGACAGTGAATAGGGTTGATAGAAAGAGGATTGATGCCTTTGAGCTGTGGTGCTGGAAACGAGTGTTGAATATACCATGGACTGCTAGGAGAACAAACAGGTTTGTCCTGGAGAGGGTGAAGCCAGAGTGTTCCTTGGAGTCAAGGATTCTGAAGCTTCGCCTGACATATTTTGGGCATGTTGCAAGGAGGGACTGGGCCTTGGAGACGGACATCATGTCTGGCAGAGTGGAGGGGCGGCGAAGGAGAGGAAGACCTTTGATGAGATCGATAGATTCTGTGACTGGAGCAGTGGGAATGAGTGCGTCTGAGATGACTAGGTTGGCACAGGATAGAATAGCATTTAGAGCTCTTGTACTTATTCAAGTAAGCTTTTCTCTTTTTACAAAAATCTGTCTTACAAGAAGCAAGCTCTGATTATTTTATTCATTATATAGAAATTTTACTCAATTTTTCAATAGCAATAAAATAAATTAAAGCTTACTTGAATAAGGTGAAGAAGATATGCTGCTAGCTTCTAAAGAGATTATATTTTACTAACATGATGCAGGTCATCAAAGTCCCTGGGTTAATCAAATGGTTAGCTCTGTTGCTTGGTGATTTAAGTACACATGGACACACCTTGGAAGAAAGGCCTGGTGATCTACCTCTGAAAAATCAGTCTTTGATAATCCTACTGAGCACCTTTTTATCAGAAAAGTGTATTGCTGCCCTAAGTCAGGAGATGGCTTTTAACATTTAACTTTGCATGCTATGGACTTGTGAAAGAAAATTAAAGCCATTACTAAAAAAAGTAAGACTCAGTCTTAGGACAGAAAATTTAGACTTTGAAGGATTAGTTGCCTTTCATACATATTTTCAATTTCAAAAGTTACTCCATTCCTCCAACAAAAAGTTTGGACAAAAGATGAAACAAAAAAACAAAACAAAACAAAGACCAAACACAGTAGTACCTGATTCCAGACTTTCCTAATATATCTCCTGATCTCTTGACTGATAGTACCAAGAGTGTTGATTGCAAACCAAGTAAGATGAAGTCACTGACAATTTCATCCCTTTTTTTTTCTTCTATCATTATTTTGCCTTATCGGTCCAGTGTTGAAAATTTTTGTTTTCTTTACATTGAGATGGTCATTCGATCTTCTGCAGCAAGCACTTCAAGCCATCTTAAACTGGTGTATTAGAACTGCTTTTTATTAGTAGCTCAGCACATTACATACTACAGAGATACTGAGAATGGCACAGGACAGGGTTGGATCTGTTGTTCATAGGGTAGTATGAAGAGGTTAGTGTTCAAAATGGCTTTCCTAGACATTGAATTTGACTTTGCCTTGTGATTAGCCAGAATATGTGAATAGGCCATGTCAGCTTATCCACAAGGGGACAACTGGCTTGTCTTGCCATTAAATTGAGTGGATCCAATAGCAGAATAAAAGGAACATCACCACCAGAAAAATGTAAGCAACTCATCTTTGAGAACCAAGATATTCTTATGTCAGCCAGACTAGGGCCTATGAGAGCAACAGCCAAAGCAGACACAGCAAAGAACCAGAGAACTGACAAGAGGCAGAGCAGACCCTGGGACTACTACATTATTAAACCAAAACTAAGAGCTTTTGACCCAAGTTTGTTGGAAGACTGGGGTGTGGGAGGAATAGCCACAACTGGTAGGACCGAAAGCTCTGTATCAATGGCTTAAAACCGTGAAGCAACTGTGAGCACATTTCAGAAGTTGTGTTGACTGTAAGCTTTTGACCTCCCCAATATGGTTCTTTCTAGTCTGTGAGCTATCACATCAAATTTTGGACCCAGTAAAGCATTAAGATTGATACTGGGATAAGTAGAAAGAGGTAAGGGAGAATGGGGAATATTTCTGACCACATGGGAATTGGTTTTATGTTGTTGATGTTGTTGAAAGGGACAGTTCCCTTCTGAGGTTGGTAAAGGTCAGATCCAGACATCCTCATACGGCTCTTGCTCTTTTCATAGTTGTACTCAACTCATCTGCATCTAACAACATCATTATGCGTAACAGTATCATTAATATCACAAAGAAGTAAAATCTTGCTTAAGATCATTCAAAAACAACTAGGATAGTACACTGAAAAAGAATTACCCAAAATTCAGGCTGGATTTGGAAGAATCCATGGCACCAGAGACATCAATGTCGAAGTCAGATAGATCTTGGCTAAAAGTAAAGATTAACAAAAGGGTATCTCTTTGTGTTTTACTGACTATTGAAAGGCATTTTACTTTGATCATAACAAATTATGGCTAACAATAAGAAGAATGGGAATCCCAGAACACTTAATTATGTTCATGTGAAACCAATAAAAATAAGCTATGGTACAAGCAGAGCAAGAGAATACTGCATGGTTTAAAATCAGGAAACATGTACATCAGGGCTGTATATTTTCTCCACACCTATTTCATCTGTCCACTTAACCAATCATTTAAGAAGTCGAACTATATTAAGAAGAATGTGGTATCAGTTATCAGAGGAAGACTCATAAATTCCATTATGCAGATGATACAAACTTGAAATATTTAAAACGGAGGACTACATATAGCCTTCAATATGGGTTACATCTCAACATCAAGAAAACAAAAATCCTCAACACCAGGCAAATAGGCAAATTAATGACAGACTGAGAAAAGACAGAAATTGTCAATGACTTAGTATTGCTTGGATCCACAATCAAAACCCCTGGCACCAGTAGTCAGGAAATTAAACGCTGTACTGTACTGGGAAACTCTGCTGTCAGAACTTCTCCAAAATACTGAAAGCAAAGATATCAGTTTGAAAACCAAGGTGCACCCAATCTAAAACATGGTCTTTTCAAATACTTGCTATGCACCTGAAAGTTGGACAATTAATAAGGATGACTTATTCACTGGACAATAAGAAAAAACAATGATGCTTGAGTTTTGGTGCTGAATTATCTCATGGATTCCCAAAAGAACAACATTTTTGGAAAAGGTGCAGCCAGGATGACAATTATCAAAGTATGTGCCAACATGAAAAGTAGACAGATTAGACAGATAGATATATAGAGTTACAGAGATACATAGTCTATTTGTATAGCATATATATTAGGAGAAAGAAAAAAATTGAAATAGATGTCAGAAGAGACTCTAAAAATTGCACTGGAGCAAGGAGAAGCCAAAACAACAAAGTTAAAGAGCTAAACAGAAGAATTCAAAGCGCAGCTTTGGAGGACAAAGAAAAGTATTATAATGGAATGTGCACAGAACTAGAATTGGAGAATAAAAAGGGAAGAACTCCCTCTCATTTCTCAAGCTGTCAGAACTGAAAAACAAATTTAAATCTCAAGTTACCACACTGAAAGATGCTATGGGCAATATACTGAATTATCCCAAAGACATCAAAAGAAGATGGAGAGAATACACAGAATCATTGTACCTGAAAGAACTGGCTGACACTGAAAATTTCTGGAAGTACCATATGAATAGGAGCCAATGGTAATGAAGGAGGAGATGGAAGGTGCATTGAAAGCATTGGTAAAAAATAAGGCCCCGGGAATTGATAGGCTACCAAATGACTTATTCCAATTAATAGATGCAGCCTTGGATACACTCACAGTCTATGCCAGGAAATTTAGAGGACAGCTATCTGGCCAATAGACTGGAAAAAGTCCATATTTGTCTCCATCCCCAAGAACGGTGATCCAACTGAATATGGAAACTATCAAACAGTATCACTAACGTAACAAGCAAGGAATATATTGCTGAAGATCATTCAAATACAGCTAAAACAATATCCAGATAGGGAACTGCCAAAAGTTCAAGCAGGACTTAGAAGAGGAGATAGCACCAGGGATATCACTGCTGATGCCAAAAAGATCCTGGTTGTGAGTAAAGAATACCAAAAGAAAGTCTATTTGTGCTTTACTGACTATGCAAAGGCATGTGACTATGTGATTCATAACAAGTTGTGGCTGACATTGTGAAGATTAAGATCTAAGGGGCAGGGAATGGTGGAAACAGAGATGAGGATATGTGGGGTGGGTGGGTGGAATAATCATGGAGTTGTACAGTTTGATGGGGGTGAGGGAAATTTGAAGAATCTGGTCGGAAAAACAATGTATTCAAATTCTGTAAATAAATTAGTATAAATTTATTTATTTATGTATTTTTAAAAAAGAGTCCCAGAGCACCTAATAGTGCTCATGTGAAACTTATACCCGGACCAGGAGGCAGTTGTGGGAACAGAGCAGGGGAATACTGCATGGTTTAAAACTGAGAAGAGGGAGCATTGGAAGCCTAGTGGCAAGAAGCTGCACTGCAATCTCAGAAGCGCACAGTTCAAATCTACCAGATGCTCTGCTGGAAAAGAAGGGACCATCTCCTCCTGTACCAGTCAGATCCAATTTGATGGTACACACACAAAAAATAAAATTTTTTAAAAATTTAAAAAAAAAAAAACTGAGAGGGGAGTATGTAAGAATTATATTCTCTCTCCATATCTATTCAATCTGTATGCTGAGCAAATTATTCAAGAAGGAATGTGGCATCAGGATTGTAGGGAGACTCATCAATAACATGAGTTATGCAGATGACACAACCTTGCTTGCTAAAAGTGTGAAGGATTTGATGTACTTGTTGCAAAAAATCAAGGAATACAGCCTTCAGTATGGACTGCATCTTAATGTTAAGGAAAAAAAAAAGATTCTTATCACTGGACCAATAGGCAACATCATGATGGATGGAGGAGAATGAAACTCTCAACAGTGTCATCTTGCTTAGATCCACAATTAATACCCTTGTTACTGACAGTCAGGAAATAAGGAGATGCACTGCACTGGGAATATCAGCAGTTAGGGATCTCTCCAAATTATCAAGGAGTAATGATGCCAGTTTGAGGACTAAGTTGTGTCTGATTCAGGCCATAGGCTTTCTGATCGCTTGTCATGAATCTGAGAGCTAGACTATGAATAAAGATGATAGAAAAAGAACTGACGCCTTTGAGCTGTGATGTTGAAGAGCACTGAATACCTCATGAACAGCCAAAACAGCAAACACATATGTATGTCTTGGAGAGGGTGCAGTGGGAGTGCTCTCTGGAGGCAAGATGATGAGGTTTTACCTCACATACTTTGGACATATTGCTAAGAGGGACTATTCCTTGGAAAGGGACATGATACTAGGAAGGGTGGACTGACATGGTTGACTGCTGCTATGGGCTCTTGTATGTCTAGAAGTATGAGGATGGCGCAGGATAGAAAAGGATTAAAATCTTTTGTTCACAGGGTCGCTTGACTCAACAGCATCTAACAACAACAAATAACATATTAGATAAATGGATAGGTAGTCAAATGATAAACAGGAGACGCAGATACACACAAAGTGTAGATTGGTTAGAACATCTCAGGGCCTGCTTGTTTTTGTTGACAATTAATGCTATCTTATTTAGCCTGAGTATTCAGAAGTCTAGTTAGAAGACTCATGTGGATCTTGATTACATTGATAGGAAAAGAAATGAAGGCAATAAGAAAAAAAAATACATTTTAACATTTAATATAAATGCAAGTTCACAAAATCAACTTTCACAAATATGTATTAACAAGCATGAAAAATAAAGGGTTTCCCCCTAAAGTACAACTTCATTCCCTTTCTGCCCCACAACTGACTTAGTGTTGAGTGTCACTCACTCACTGCCATCAATCTGGAATCAACCTGAACCTCCAGTGGGTTTTCCGCAGATATAGAGAGAACAGGAGACTGTTAATTTTTCTCAAGTGGAGCTGCTGGTGGATTTGAATCATTAGAGGTGTGGCCTTTGGGTTAGTAGACCACTCTATTCAGTCACCAGAGCTCCCCTTATTCAATGTATTGTTTTTGTATATTGTTGAGTGGTTCAACTCTGGAAGATGATTTCTTGCATCTTGATGGTGGTCACATAAGGAAGATTTTTGGTTGTGCTATTGGTTTCTTTTTTCCACGAACTAGTGTTAGCTGACTGGGCTTTTGCCCTGTTTAGCTAATAGCGACCTAAGGGGAGAGGGTCTACTTGGTTTACAGTAAACAGCATTTGTTGAGCATGCATGCCTATTTTGGAATGAACATTCTTTAACTGGTATAACAGTCATCTGTCTATTTGCCGTACTGAAGTAACTTGCAGTTGCTGTGATGCTGAATACTGCGCCATACGTGTGTTAAATATCATAATGGTTATCCATCATGGATAGTGTTTGGAGGAGCTTCCAAATTAATTCAGTTTTGGAAGCAGGAGTGGCATCTACTTCCTAAACCACATGCCTCTGGAAACTCTATGAACATAGAGAAATGATGTTTTTATAGAACAGGGTTCAGATCTTTTGTTCATAGGGTCACTTTGAGTCAAATTCGACTTGATGGCACTTAAACAGTTGCCAAGAGAGACTAGTGTTGTCATATTTTGAAGGAACATTCTTCTAAGTTGTACATCACTCTTCTGTCAATTTGCTGTACTGAGGTAATCAGGGTTTGCTATTGGAGTATCAAATGCCCTAACAGTTGCCCAAGGTAGACAGTGTTTGGTGGAGCTCCCAGGTTTTAAGACAGGTTTGGAAGCAAGAGTGGCATCCACTTGCTATACCTCATACCTATGCAAACTCGATGAACTTGGAGAAATGATGATAGATATAGAAAGGCATGAAGTCTTTTGTTCATAGAGTCACTATGAGTCATGCTCGACTCAACGACAATCAACAACAACAAAGAAACATATATAATATCAATGATTATTTTTAATAAGCATTATTTTTATACTTTGTTCTGCTTTGATATATTCTGGGTAAAATATACATTAAAAAAAAAGTAAGTAAAATAAACCTCTGCTTAATCACCCAAATTTACCCTTTAATGGAAGAGCTCTGGTAGCACTAAGTGGTTAAGTGCTCTGAGGAAAAGCAAAATGTTAGCCGTTTCAACTCACTAGAAGCATCTCTGGAGAAACAGTTGCGTCTGCTTCCAAAAAAATTTACAGTCTTCCAATCTGTCCTCTAAGGTCACTATTAGTCAAAATCTATTTGACAGCTATAGAGTTTTATCCTTTAACCAATATCAGAGCCACCAAAAATTATTTAATACAAATTGTTTATGCACCTCTGAAATATTACATACACAAATCAATTTCTGCTTCCCAAAAAGGAAATAAACTAAAAATTAATTTAAAATATATTTTAAAACTTACCCATATTGCAAGTTTAGCCTTGTTTCCATCCACTGAAATTGTTTTCACCTTAAAGTCAACACCTTAAAGAAACAAATGTTAAGTTTTCAAATAAAATGTACTTTTAAAATCAATTACCAAATACAAACAATTCCACTTCATTAAATGTTCCTAACCTCTCTAAATTCAGTTACCAAAAGAAAAAGCATCTCTGAAGCTCAGCCATTTATTTAGGATATATTACTTAATATATGCCATGTTAACAAATAAAAAAATAAATATTTTAAGATCTTTCTATCAGTTATAATTTTTAAAAAACTCTGACAAAATTCAATAGGCATTCCTGATAAAACCTGAATAGAGAGTGCTTCATCAAACTTTTAACAGTAATTTATGAAAAATATAAACCTAACACCAAACTTATTGGTGAGAACTAGATGTCTTCCCTTAATATTGAGAACAAAAAGATTATCAGCTTATACGACTTTTTCTATATAAATGTTGTGCTCGATATTGTTAGCCAGAGTAATTAGGCAAGAAAAAGAAAAGGTACACATGCAAACACATATACATTCAGAACTTAATAGTGAAGAAGGAAACTAAAAGTCAGATTCGTATAAGGAATATCATTGATGACATCAGAAGCATCTTGGCTGAAAGCAGAGAATACAAGAAAGATGTTTATTTACAATTTATTGACAAAAGGCATTTGGTTGTATGGACCATAACAAATTATGTCCAATATTGAGAAGAAAGGGAATCCCAGAACACTTAACTGTGCATATAAGAAATCCATACATAGATAGATAAGCAGCTGTCTGAATAGATCAAAGAACACTGCATGGTCTAAAATCAGGAAAGCTGTGCATCAGTGTCTTACCCTTTCTCTATAACTATTCAAGGTGTAAGCTGAGCAAGTAATTTGAAAAACTGAACTGACAAAAGAATGTGGCATCTGGACTGGAAGAAGATTCTTCAACAACCTGTATTATGGAGATGATACAATCTTGCCAGCACAAAGTGAAGACTTGAAGCACTTACTAAAGAAGATCAAAAACTTTTAATCTGGTTAGCATTTCAACAAATAAATCCTCACCAATGACGAATATGCAACATCAGGATGCTGTTGCTGTTAGGTATGGTAAAGTTTATTCTTCAAATATAACTTTTCTAGTGAATTTGCCATAGGGATGGATGGAAATACACAAATAGGGTGTATTAGCCTATCAGACAGGACTAATAGCAGTAGGAACCACAGCAGAGAACCAGAGACCTTACAGGAGATGGGCCTCTGAGACTGCTACACCACTGGAAAAGGAGATAAGAGCTTTTGCCCAAGTTTGTTGGACAACTGGGGGTGGGGAAAGCCAATATTGGCAGCACAGAGAACTTTACAACATGGGCCTAAATTCTTGAGACTCAAGGCTGAAAAGTCTATAAGTACACTTCAGAAACAGTCGAGTAGTAACATTCTGTTACTAATCTGGATTATAACCTTTTGACTTTCCCAATACGGTTCTGTGTGGTCTGTAAACTATAGCACTGGATTTTGGACCCAGTAAAGCATGAAGATTGGGTGGGAAAGAGTAAAACAGAGGGATGAGGATGTGTAGGGAGAAAGGGGATGGATGGGGGGTGAAGGAAATTGGAAGAATCTGTTCTCAAAATCAATACATTCGAATTCTGTAAATAAACTAGTATTTAAAAAATAATGGGGAAAAAATGGTGTTGAGATGAGCAGAAAGTCCTTCACTAAGGAACAGCTTTGCCTCCAAGAATCATTCTGGCCCCACTTTCTCCAAGACTTAGCTGTTTGTTCTTTTAACAGTCTTTGGGATATTCCGTACTCTCCTCAAACACCACAGTTTGAAGGCATCAATTTTTCTTTGCTTATTCTTATTTTCCCCACATTTACTTTCCTTTTATTTAAAGACTGTGATATAGAATATATTTTATAAAGAACTACTAAAGAATCATGCTTAACATTTCACAACTATAAATACACAGATAGTTACTTTTAAGATTATACACATAAAAACATACTACAAATCCTAAGTTTATGCACTTTAACTTTTTTAAGGTAATATGGCATATATTCTTTGAGTTGTGGAGCATTCTTACCCACATTTTCTGTTACTCCTCTCTCAACATAATTTACCATCCCTAAATTTTTCTAATTCTTTTTTTAAGATTTCTTTATATTGGTCTGCATACAAAATTTATATACACTGTGTTTCATTCATATAAATTGTTTCACACATTCCTTTATATTGTGTTTCAAACACTTATTCGCATACACTGTTTTATAAAATTAATCACCATCAATATATGCCTATTATTAACCCATCTCCTTCTCCCCTTTCCTTTGTCCACTAAACTCTATGACTCTGGGATTCCCTCCCCTCCCCAATCTCAGTCCCCAGGTCCTTTGTCTTTTTAGGTATCCTTCTGTTTACAATACTGGTCATCTTACAGTGTTTGTCTTTATGAAACTGAGGTAGTTCACTCAGCAAAATGCTCTCTAGTCTCTCCCATGTAATATGGTATTTTTTTTAAATTGTTGCTTCTGAATGCTGCATAGTATTTCATCATGTAAATTTCTCAATCCACTCATTTGTTGATACATGGTTGGGTTATTTCCAGGTTCATGTTTTTGTGACTAATGCGGCAATAAACATCAGTATACAAATTCCCTTTGTATCTCACTTCTATTTTCCTTGGGGTATAGCTGGGTTACATGGTGTTTCTATGTTTAGCTTTATGAGGAAATGACAAAATGCCTTTCAGAGTGGTTGTACCATTTTATAATCCCACCAACAGTGTATATATAAGAGTTCCTAGCTATCCATATCTCCTTCAACATTTATTGTTTTCTGTCCTGTTAAATTTGCCACTGCTACTGGAGTAAAACAGTATTTCATTGTGGTTTTGATTGGCATCTCTATTATTGTCAGTGATTCTGAGCATGTCTTCATTTCTTTGTCTATTTGAATGTCTTCCTCTGTGAAAAGTCTTTCCGTGTCTTTTGTCCATTTTGTTATTATGTTCTCAGTCTTTTTCTTGTGGAGGACTTGTAGTTCTCTGTAAACATTTGTTATGAGAGCTTTGTCTGACATGACATTATCAAATGTAGGGATTTTTCCTTATTGGAAAAAAATTCTGATGCACACAGGGACTCAATCTTTAGGAGGTCCCTTCATTAATGTAATCATCTATTTGTGCATTTCTGACTGCATTTCTCTGTCTCTTTATACCATTACCACAGGCTAGTCCTTCTAAGTTTGGTCTCATTCTGTCTCTTACGATCTTTATAGTTTTTGGTTTTACTCCTAGGTCTCTGATAAACCTTGAGTAGATTTCTATGTATGGTGTGAGATGTGGATCCTGCTTCAGCTGTCTACAGGTATAAATCTAGTTTTACCAACACTATTTGTTGAAGCGGTTATTTCCCCATGTGATAAGTTTTGTTTCCTTTTAAAGACCAGTTGATCATCAGCAGATTAATTAATTTCTGGTTCTCACTTCTGTTCCATTGGTCTATGTGTCTGTCACTGTACAAGTACCATTCTATTTTTATTATTACAGCTGTGCAGCAGGTTTTGAAGTCAGGGAGTGCTTAATTTTTGTTTTTCAGAAGTGCTTTGCTTATTCAGGGTCTAATTCCCAAATAAATTTGTCAATTCCCTCTTCTATCTCTTAGCGAAAAATCCACCTCAGTGAAAAATGAGTTTGACATCTGTATTGAGATTAAACATGTAGATTACTTTTGGTAGGATTGTCATTTTCACTATATTGACTCTTTCTATCCATGAACAGGGAATATTTTACACACACACACACATATAAAATACTGGTTTACAGTCTTTAATGCACATGGCAATGATTGAAAAGATGCACCTCAATCCTCAAACTGACATCTTTGCTCCTTTGCCTACAGACTTTATCAGTACAATGTCTCCTGTTCTCCTGACTGCTGCTACCAAGTGTACTGACTACAGATGAATTCGTTGACAATTTCAATTATCTTTTCGCTATTAGTGTAGTGGTGAGCAAGTTCTTCCTTTTTTATTCTCCAATTTTAAGTATCTATAAATTCTGTTATAATAGTTTGCTTCATCTTTTCTCTAGCTGCCCTTTGAAACCTCCTGTTCAGCTCTTTCACTTCAATAACTCTTCCTTTTGGCCTTTTATGCTCTAAAAAAATTTTCAAGGTCTTTCCTGACATCTACTTTGGTTTTTCTTTCTCCTCTGTCTCTATAGTGACCTACTGCTCTCTCCATAGATGATATCCTTGATGTCATCCCACAACTCATCTGGTTTTTGATCACTGCTGTTCAATGCTTCAAATTTATTTCTAAGATGACTTAATTTTAGGTAGAATCATATGTTGGTTTTCATTGACTTAATTTTCTTCAGCCTCAATTTTAACTTGCACATGAGTAACTGATGGTATGTTCCACAGTCAGCACCTGGCCTAGTTTTGACTGATACTGAGCTTTTCTAATGATTCCTTCCATAGATATGGTCAAATCTGATTCCTATGCTGTCCATCTAGTGAGGTCCATGTGTAAAGATGACATTTATGCTTCTTATAAAAAGTATTTGTAATGTATAAATCACTAGACATAGAAAATTTGATCATTGTGTTTTTGGCCTTGTTTCTGTGACCTGTAATTTTCATCTACCCTTCCTTCATTATTTCCAACTTTTGCATTCCAGTTACCAATTATTATTAATGCATCTTGATCACACATTTGGTCTATTTCAGACTGTAAAATTTTAATCAAGTCTTCAATTTCCTCATCTTTGGCTTTAGCTACGGGTATATATATTTGAATAAATCATAGTAATAGGTCTTCCTTGTATGCATATGGATAATATCCAATCACTTATTGTACTTCAGAATGTTGTTATTATTTGCCATCACGTCAGCTGGGACTCATAACAACCCTATGTCCAACAGCTCCAAATCCTGGCCTATCATGAGCCAATCTCACCATTTCTGATGGACTTAAGCCCAATTCTCTAGTGACTGAGTCAATCCATATCATCCTGGGTCCTCCTTTCCTGTGCTGCCCCTCCATCCTTTCAAGTATGTTGTCCTTTTCCAAGGACTGGTCCCTCCTGGCCATGTGCCCAAAGAATATGAGAAGGAGCTTCAAAATTCTTGCCTCCAAGGAGCAGCTTGGTTTCATCCTCTCCAAAATAGACCTATTTGTTCTCCTGGCAGTTCATGGTACAAATTCAACACTCTTCTCCAGCACAACCCAACAAGATCAATTCTTCTTCATTTTAGTCATCGTCCAGATCTCTGATACATTGCAAGTAATTGCAAAGACCAAGACCTGTATGGGGTGCATGTGAGCCCACAGACTGACATTGTTGCTCTTCAGTACTCTTGAGAGGTCCTTAACAACATTCCAATGCAATCTGCCTTTGATTTCCTGACTGGTGCCAACAGTGTTAATTGTGGAACCAAGGAAGCTGAAGCTGTTAACAATCTCAATCTCTTCACCATCTATGATGGTGCTGACAACTGGCCTAGTTGTGAGAATCTTTTTTTTCTTGATGTTGAGCTTCAATTCATATTGAAGACTACAGTATCTAACTTTGTCTTTCTGCAGCAAACACCTCATGTTCTCCTCAGTTTCAGCAAGCAAGGTTGTGTTATTTGCATAATGCAGGCTGCTGATGACTCTTCCTCCAACCCTAATGCCACATTCTGCCTCATAAAAGTCCAGCCTCCCAAGCAGGAGTGGTATGCACATCCTAAACAACATGCCTCTGGAAACGCTATGAACTTTGATAAATGACAATAATTCTAGAAAGGCTTTTGTTCATAGGGTTGCTATAAGTTGTGCTTGACTAGACAGCAATCAAAAACAACAACAATATACATAGCAAAACAAAATTACATATGTATATTGTTGTGAGGAGCCAGCAAGTTGATTAGGACTCACAGCAACCCTATGAACAACAAATCTAAACCTTTCCCTATTGTGCAAAATATCAGTGGTATTAATAAAGAGTTATAAGATAACAGATAAGGGATTTTTGTTTTGTGGGGTCTAGAAAGACTTCAGAGATTTAATGATGCCAAAGTTAAGCCTTGAAAATAAGTAAAGTTTCTACATACATAGATGCAATGGGGTGATCAGAGGAGATCAGTACTTAGATAAAAAAACATGAATGTATAAAAATATTTAGCATTTTTATTGAATTATTTAACACAGGCTTACCTATTGTTGCTGCAAGTTCTGGATCAAAAGTATCATCTGTGAACCTCAAGAGCAGGCTAAAAGAGATGTTAAAAAGACAGATTAAACAAATATTATATGGTGCCACTGTTGTAGAATGAGGCTAACATTGGGGTAGGGGTAAGACTGAGAAAAACTGGATAAATTATGTTTACTGCATTGAAGCCGACGAGGGAGAGAATAGTTTAAAATTAATATATTTTAGGGCATTATGATTATCATAAGAGTCCAGAATGAGGGTTGCAGAGTGAAGTATACTTGGGATGGGAGTGGGGGATTGTATACCAATG